TCTTCCAGCCAACCCACATCCGTACACATCCTGCCTTGCCTACTGTTACTGTGGGTGAATTGTCTTTGTGCCTTAGCCTACTCTTTCACTCACCGTATCAGTTCATCAGTTTTCCCCCTCATCTGAATCATAAGATTTTTTCCTCTCTACCAGTAGGATCATTTACGTCAGAATACGAATGTTGCTGTAATGTCTCCTGTGCTATAAAAAGTCCTTTATGTTTTTCCAGCTACTGCCAATTTCTTCATTCTTTTTTATACTACAACTCTTTAAAAGAGTCATCTATATTTACTGTCTTCAATTCCTCTCACCTCTCTTAACCCAACTCCAATCAGGCTTTTTTTTAATACTGTTAACCCACAAAGATCAAGGTCAATAATAGCCCCTAACATAGCTACATTTAACGGTCAGTTCTCAAATCTCATCCTTTTCAGTTTATCTGCTTTGTTTAACATCTTGTCACTTCCTTCATGAACTGTTTTCTTTTTTTTTTTAATAGAATACTGTATTAAACGTTTTCCATATTTCCCTACAGTCATCAAAATTGTTTTTAAACCACATAAAGTCCCACCCAGTTGATAGAACCATTATGGATATATGTTAAGGAGGTGGTAAGTATAACACAAAAAATAATTTTTTCTTTTAAGATTTCTTTGTAATGTTTAACAAGAAAGTGGTTTTATTAGTTAAAGAGAAAGAGAGAGAAAAATAAAAGGCAGGATGAATATATGCTGACCCATGAGGCCTGGGCAATTACCTCCCATCACAACACCAAAGCTCTGTTTTCTTTACTTGGCTATCGGGGCTACTCTTTTGGTTTTCCTCCTATGTTACTACTTGTGCAGAAAACTGTTAAGATAGTCCGCCTGGACTGCCTATACTTAGAAAGGCCTGCTTGCAAGATTGGCCTGTGCCTGGAACTTAGCTTGTAAGCAGTTTCCTAAACCGACATAAAACTTTGCTAAATTATAAGAATGGCTTATTGTGCCTAAACTGTACAAACAATGTGGTTTAGGTTGAATACCTATTTTTCTCCTGGGGAGTTTGGAATCTTGGTATGTGCTAGACAGAGGGTGCTTATGTAATTAGCTCCCAATAAAAACCTTGAATATTGATTCTCTAATGAGCTTCTCTGGTAGACAACATTTTACATGTGTTGTCACAACTTGTTGCTGGAGTAATTGTGTCCTGTGTGACTCCACTGGGGAAGAACTCTTGGAAGCTTGCACCTAGTTTCTTCTGGACTTTGCCCCATATGCCCTTTCCCTTTTCTGATTTTGCTTTGTATCTTTTCACTGTAATAAACTGTAACCATGAATACAATGATTTCTGCCTGCTGTGAGATCTAGGCAATCACCAAACCTGTGGGTGGTTTTGGGGACTCTCAACATATTCCTTCTTTTCTTTTTTTTTTCCCTGCCTCCTTTTCAGCTTCCTTACCTCTAAACTTGGGGTACTCCAGGAATCTTCTGTATCTACAGCCTTCAGGTATTTTTATCTACCATTTCTAGGCAGTATTTTTCAGTCTTAAATCAAAATGGCATTGATTAGCATTTCAGGCTCCAAAATTCACTAGATTTATTTTATCTTTCATGTTCTAAAGTCATTATTTTGGAAATCTGCAAGCAAAAAGATTACTGATTACCAAAGCAAGATAAAGAGACTTTACACTTGTTGTTAGAAATTATATAGTATAATTTTTATAAATTCATTTAAAATATAAGTATGCTCATATGGAAATTTGGGAAAGAAAGAATTATCAGGAAGAGCAAGTTACATTGCTATAATTTAAAAATAATATCAGAAAGGAAGCAGCATCAGAATTTTATATTATAGAGCTCCAGAGTTTAGACTAAACTAAAAGTTGCAGTTAATGTAAAGGTTTTGGAAAATAGATAAAAGGAGATTATTGATGTTCTTAGTAATTTTTAGTTGTACTTTAAATTATCATTCCTTTTAGCATATTTAGTCTTAGGTTTATCTTATTACAAATGAAATTCCAGACACTATTCTACCTTTTTTTCAGTTTGTATAAGTCCAGTGGGTCCTTGTGGTAACACCTTTATAGCTGAGATTTAAGAGTACTATGTTCTTCTAAGTTAAGTAGTCACATCTCTTTATAAATCACCTGCTTATGTAAAAGCCTGTTATTATTGCCTATAATTTGTCTTTTGATTATTTTTACCTAATGCCTTCTCATGGTAATATAATAATGAAAAAAAGAAAGCAGATGTTCCATGGTAATTTGTTTTATAGAGTGTTTATTATGAGTGCTCTGTTAGAAGATAATTTTAAAAAGATTGTATACTTTAGTCTTAAGTATTTTACTTAACCCACAACTGCTATAGAAACCTATGATTCTAATTGTTATAGTTCTGAAGCATTTGTTAACTGTCTTAGGGTCACTGATGTAGTACTTGCTGAAGTGACATCACTTCAAATGACCCTAAAATGACACTAATGCTTTACTTGCCACTAGAATCATCAGAAGACAACATCTGAATAAGTAAGTCTCACCATGTTTTTTACCTTAAGTCAACTGAGATGCCATTGTTAGTGCATAGTTAAAAATGAATAGAATATTTAAACTTCTAATGCCATAAAGTATTGGTACCAGGTGACCAAAACGAGAATTAAAAAGTGCTTTCTGTTGACTAAACCTTAAATTAAACTTTATTAAGTTGCAAATAATTCAGAAGGAATTATACATTGTTACTTGTTTTCTAAGACAATTTTTACAAATACTATTTGAATCAATAGTAAAAAGCAAATATTTTTGATAAACAAAATTGAATTTATATGAATAGTAATTTATAAATGTAAACATATCATGTTTTTCTCTCCATTCTTCTACATAAACCTACCAAGTAGAGTTGAAAAACAGTAGTAAAAGGTACCTTAGACATGTCACTTTTCAGAAAGCTGTAAATTGCTTGTTCCCAGTGTGGAAAAGCTGAGTCTGTTGGGAGGTATCATACTTGCAGCATTGTTGTCTTTTTCTTCTTGACACAATAGAACATCCATTGTGACTCTAGATATAGAGATATATAACTTTGGTTACTGGTTATTATGTTTCCTTTCTCTGTGCAGTCAGATCTCTAAAAGCAGAAATGAAATACTAAGAATAGTGTGTTATTTTCTCCCACTTTCTCATTCCTTTGTCTTGCTTAGGCATTCATTCACATATTCATTCCCACATTTTTTTGATGAACATCTCTTGGGTACAAGTTGTATGCCAGACATTATAAAATTGAATAAAGCAGGGGGCTTGCTTTCATGGATTTTATAGTTTAGTTTCATATGTGATACTCTATTCTGAACATGAGAATCAAGAATATTTCTCTCGTTAGGCTTAAGTTCTGTATCTTTAAAAAAAAAAGTTTAGGTTCTTTAGTGAGGGAAGAGTTCCTTTCTCCATGATTTAAAACTCCAAGCATATGGAATGCTTTAGATTCTTTTGGAAGAGAGTTAGGAGCACATGTGAGAGGTGTCCCCAAGGAATCCTCTGTTATACCTCTGTCATCAAGGAGATAAATAGGCCAGAAGTGGATATCAAGAGAATTCCACAGTGTTTATAGTGGAAAGTGGAATTTAATGTTCTAGAAAAATCAATAGACATCCATTTATGTTTATACTACCTTGGCCGTTTCTCTCCTGAAATATTTCAGTGATATAATAAAGCGGTGATATGATACATTCATGATATGTCTCCATCATTTAGCCGCATTGTGAGGAATAAGGTGCAAAAACAGTGATTTTCATGGCAGTTTATAAATGCAGTTGATTATTTCATTTATAGTTCTCAGAGCTGAATCTCTAAGGAAAATTTTTTTGTTTAGAAATGATAGTTTTTATTTTTCATAGTATTTTATATATACGGTAGAACTAAAAAAGGGAGAGGGGCTTCAGAAATCTGAATACTCATCTAATATTTGTGCTTCTTGACATAGTATTTTACTATTAAATATTTGAAAAGTATGTAATTTGATTTTTTACAGCTTTATTGAGATATAGTTTACTTACCATACAGTTTCCCATTTAACATATATAATCCAATGGTTTTTAGTATATCTACAAGTTGTGCGGTCATCACCATTGTCATCATCCCCAAGTGTAATTTGATTTTTGAATTCTATTTAAGGGAATCCTACTCAAAATTGAACTTTTTCTTCAAAAATTAACATTCATTTATAGAGTTTCTGTTTGGGGTGATGAAAAAATTCTGGAAGTGTATAGTGGTGATGGTTGAATGTACTTAATGCCACTGAATTGTATACTTGAAAATGGTTAAAATGGTAAATTTCATATTATGTATACTTTGCCACAGTAAAAAATTAACATCCATTTATGTGAAATCAGAATTGGTAGTTTCAATTTTTTTGGAGATTTTATCCTAAGCAACACATGATACTAATATTTTTTTCTCAGAAATGTGTTATAGCAAAGATACTCTTATATACTAAAAATTCATGTTATTGATTTTCTCAGGCTGAAAAACCGACACATTAAAATTGTTGTAGATATTTGTTTTTATAGAAAGAAATTACAGTAAAATTAAGTGAAGAAGTAAAAGCAATTAGTGTTTCTTTGTTTTAATTTTGCTCTACTTGAAAAAGCAAAATGCCAAGCAGTGCAGGCCCTTTTATCTTAATGCGAGAAAAGTAAATATAATACACACACACAAATGAATACATATATGATAATATAAAAGTATGTTTATAGATGCATTAAAAAATCGCTGGAAGGAGACAGAAAAAAAACAATAATGTTGGTGGTTCTGGGCATGGGAATGGGGCAGCTAGGGTTTATGGATGGGAATGATATTTTCTACTTTGTGAATGTATTACCTATTAAAACATTTTAAATAAAAAATCCTAATCTTAGTCTCGTAATCAACATAACTGTGTTTCTTCCTACTGTGCTTTATTACAGGAGGTAGAACTTTATTGAGATTGGTGTGAAAATGAACTGTATTACTTAAGAAGTTGTTTTCTTTCTAGGAATTGATTATGGATTAAGTTTACCACTTGGGGAAGACTATGAGCAGAAGAAACATAAACTAAAAGAAGAATTGCGGCAAGATTACAGACGCTATCTTACTCAGGTAATGAGTTCTATTAATGAGTTGGGTCTTATGCTTCAGGATTCATCTCCTAAATTTGTTTTCATAAGATATTAGTCATATGTGTTAGTTTTCAGATTATCAGTGGTATCTAGTTAAGTAGTAGTATAGTCAAAGTTAAGTGACATATATGACATTGATAGAGGAAAAAAATGGTGCTGAGAACTGGTGCTGTGGAATATACAGATTCTTGACCTTTGGAGTAGAGCAGTGGGTTCTAATTTTAAATGAGATTGTAAATTCTGATTGTTCATGCTTTCCGTAAAGTTATCATGGTTTAAAGTAGCCCAATAATGATTTCCCACTCCTACTCCCCCCAACTTTATATTAAAATGACACATGGAGTTCTACTTGCTAACTATTTTCCTATGAACTAAGCTTATAAAATTTTATTTAACATATTTATTTAACCACCAAAGTCTTTGCTTTATGACTTAATGTTTTACATAGCAGAACCCTTGTCTTAAGTATATTGTGTTAAAGTATATAGTAGCTAAATTAAGGTTTATTGTAAGTTTTAAAATGCAATTTAATTTTTAGGTTCTAAAATTATTTTAAGCAATCATGATGTTTCTTGTCATCCCAAGATAATTTTTCACTGCTTAATAATGTTTGCTGCAGATGTACAAATGGTCTCATTTATTCTGATTTGCACATGGAGAGAATGGACTTTGACTGAATATATTTTATCAATGGTTTGTTTCCTTTGACTTTAGGGCATTACAGAAGCAAAAAGAAAGGTAGGGTTGCCTGCAAAGTCATCTCCTTCAGTATTTTTTTTTTTTTTTAAAGATCTAGTAGCTTGTAATTATTTGCATTGCCGAGATTCAAACCAATTAGAATAATAGCTTTATTTATGATTTTGAGGCTTGTGAATGGTACCATTTTATGTTCTTTCTTTTAGCAAGATGATAGTGTACACATTCATTGCTTCTGATTTCTGTTTTGCATTTGTTTTTGTTGCTTTCTTATGCATTCCTTATAAATATTCTGCAACTATTGTAAGTTTATTTGTTTTCAGCATGCTAGTTTTGTTCCTCAAATTTTGCTAATCACAATAAGATTAATAGAATAATAGAATATTCAAGATATTTGAAGATGTTATCAGGACTTGGATTATTCCTCTATATTTTTGCACCAAAACCTGTGGAATGCATTCCTAAGTTTATAATGGAAAACAAAGAGAAATAGTTTTATAGTTTTTACAAAACTGTTTTTAAAAAGAATCTTACACACCCATTCACCATTCAACTAATATTTCTTTAAACACTTAGAAGATGAGTCAGGTATGGATCCTGTCTTCAAGGGGCTTAGTTGTGGAAATAGCATTCATAAAATTCAGAAAGTTATAACTACAAGAAGCATATAATGATCAGGAAGGGCCTCATAGTGGGAGGTGTTATTTTGTAAAACATTATAGGATGAGCAGAATTTAGATAATCTAGAGGGAGAGTCAGAGAAAAAATTTTTTCAGATGGAGAATATAGAATGAAGAAGGACTTGGAGGGTAGACATTAGCTTTGTATGACTAAGGCATATTAGGTTTACCAACCTGGTTACGTCAAAGTATGATTCTTTTTGAGAGTAGTAAGAAATAATGGTTTAGATAAATAGGACAGGATAACATTAGAAAGCAGTAGATTTTTAACTTGTTATGTATGATAGGCAGTGACGAAACATTATACTTCCTTAAGTAGCCTGTGAAGAGCATGATGGTTGTGTTTTAGGATAGTTAGTTCTACAGAGATTCTGGTCTTATTGTCCTAAATTACTGCTACAGCTTCTTAACTGATCTCCTCGCACTTATTCTCAGTCCATTCTCCATGCCACTTTCCAGAATGATCCTGTCCCTAACTGATTTATATAGGCCAATGTCTCCTCACTGTCATCAAGATACAAATTCAGATTCTTTTGCATGGCACATGTTTTTCATGTCCCTGGGCTTGTACCTTATTATCTTCTCCTTTCCTATTTCTCCTTTATTGGGTGGAGTTTTCCTCTGGTATCAGATATCTAACATTTTCACTTGTAGATTTTGGAATACTTCATAGGTCTAAGATTAAGAAAAAGAATGATGGTGGGGGGCATAAAAAGAAATTGCTTTTATGAAAATGAAAGAGATCAAGGAGCACAAATCTTTAAATTCAAAGGGATGTGAAGGAGATTTTTGGTGTTGAGTTATCAAGAATACAGTTGTGGTGGAGGAGCAATATGTCCTTAGAATGAAAGTGACAGTTTTTGGTTGACATAAGAAGGTGGGAATGGAAAGGAAATCAAGGGAAAAAGAAAATAGGATATAGGGAGGTGGCTACAGCTTCCTGGACCCCTGGAATGTGTATGGTTTCCGAGTCCCACTCCTGGATCTCTTGTGGCTTCCAGACTCTTAGATTGCAGGGATATTTAAATTATTAAAAAAATAAAATATTTTAATTTTTCCAAGAAGAGCCTTTAAAACAACTACCATTTTTCTAGTTTTTTGAATAAAGGATGCTTAACCATATAACAACACAGAAAGGACATGTTCTCAGAAGAACACTTTTTAAACTGAATCAGAAAATTCATATCTCTAGTCTAGACCTCTGTCCTGAACCTCAGACTTTTCTGCCTGCCTACTTGAAATTTCACTTAGAAATCTAACTGGTATCTTACATAAAACATGTCCAAAAGGGAACTCTAGATTTCTACTCTTCCCACCCTTGTCCCTAGAAGCCTTAATAACCTGTTCTTTTTATTTTATTTATTTTTTTATCACAGCAATTATCACCTTCTAGCCTAATCTATAATTATTCTTCATTATGTTTATTATTCCTTGTCAGTTTCTCCTGCTTGAATGTAAGCATTAGGAGGGCTGGGATCTTAACCTGTTTTCTTCATTGATGAGTTCCAAATGTTTCAAAGAGTTTGGGCAGATAGTAGGTACTCAACATTTATTGAAGGAATGAATGAATGACTAAAATTCAGCTTTTTGGAAAACTTACTATGTTGTCCTTATTGTTCATTTTTTTCATTTTATTGAACATCCAGATATCATCCTGGACCTGTGTTGGGAGTGGGGAATATGAAGGAGTAAGGATATTATATCTATCTTTCCAGGGTTGGAACTCAGAATGTGTTTTTTTGTGCATTTATAATTCTACAAAATGATTAGGTTTATAGTGTACTTCTATATATAGAGGGTAAACTTACTCAGGGATCTAGTCCTGTGTCTTATTGTTTCCCTTGTCAAATAAGTTAGAGTTCCATACAACAAACTTTCAAATTAGTTTTTGTAGTACAACTTACTTGTAAATTTGGATTTAATGAAACTTTATTAATCACTTTGTTTTACTAATCACTGTGTTCCCGTAATGTTTTGAATATAATGCTACTGTAGCAGTTAGTACCTTTTATTATAGTTATTTATTTATGTGTCTGTTTGCCCAACTGAATTGTAGATCTCTTGAGTACAGGAAACATAGGCTTATCTTTGTCTCCCTACCACCTAAAATAGTACCTGAAAAATATTAGATGCTCGATAATTGCTTGTTTAATGAATGAATAAAAGACATGGAGTTAGACAGGTTAACAAGTATTGATTGATTTAACCTAGTGATATAGATGGGATAATCCTTGTTTTATAGACTAAAACACCAATTTAGTAATTTATTCCAGGTTATTTGACTAGTAAGTAGCAGTATCGGGAAGTTGGGGATGATATGTATTTTTTACTAGTCCCTTGTATTAGTCTTCAAAGAGATTTTACATTTTTTTATACTCCTTGATCTTTAAAATCAGCTTTGATAAGTAGGCAGAACAGGTACCATTCTCATTTTATGGAAGAAGAAAGTCTGTTTCAGAGAAGTTAACTGACTTGTGCAGTGTTACACAACCATGAAGTATTGGGGGGAGTCATAGATCCTAAGTCTTTTGACTCCTAGTCTAATGCTCTGTCTACCACAAAATGAACAAGAATGGAAGGATACACAAAGATACAATGTTCGTAGTTTATATCTTTTGGCAGTTGAGTAGATATTCACTCATATACAGTAAATGTAGGAAAAACAACAAAAAAACATTATTGCGACATGCATAACGATATTTGTGAGGAAGTTTGAATTTGCCTTAAGAGCAAAAGCACTAGAGCAGAATGAAGCATATATGCTTAGGAAAGGAATACAAGTTGGGGAAATTTTCTTTTTTTCCATTCTTTTAATAATCTTGACTCAATAGATATATACATATTGCAAATGAAAATTAAGATACGATTTTCCTTTTCAGGGAGTTGTTGATTGGAAGAAAATTCTCTTTTTCCAATTCTTAGGAAAGGAATACAAGTTGGGGAAATTTTCTTTTTTTCCATTCTTTTAATAATCTTGACTTAATAGATATATACATATTACAAATGAAAATTAAGATACGATTTTCCTTTTCAGGGAGTTGTTGATTGGAAGAAAATTCTCTTTTTCCAATTACTTTTGGTGTGGTCTCTATAGATTTGTAATTTTCTGTCTTTATTTCCATTTCATTCTTTCGTTCTGCATAATGTAATACTAGTTTGAACAACAGAATGTAAAGACACATTTGTGAAACATATTTTATAAAGGCAATTAGGTAATATATTTTTTTAATGTGTATATATACAGAAAAATTTTCTATCCACGGGTGAAACAGATCCATCTACTCTGGGAGTTTCTCTTCCTATTGGTGAGAGGTTATCTGCCAAGGTAGGTAGATAGGAGTAGTTTTTGTGGGTAGCAGTTTTCTGAGGCTTTAAAATCATGAAAGAACATACTTCTGATTTAAATGCAAACAGAAGATTATATCATTTCCCCATACTTGAACATATTTCTTTTTCAAAAATCTGTGGAGTCTCTAGTTGTGCTGTTTAAAAAAAATTTTTGAACATTACATTTGTAACCAGTAGTATGATATATTTCTTTAGTATGTTGATTCTTCTGCTGTATTTGGTTATATTTAACTGAATATTTAGAATTCATTTTTTCCATATTAGTTTCTGAGCTATTAGGTTTATGCTATGTGACATGGTTATTAGTGAAACGAGTGGATGTGAGAATATAGTGAGCTTCTGTGTGGGGTGAGGGTAGGGTCTATTTGAATGTGTGTTTCTATCACTCCACTAATGTATGTCCATACTCTTTAGAGATGGTAATGCACTGTACTCCTCTTGTTGTGAGACTCATTTCTCAAGGTTGATCAGAGATCATGAAATAGTATGTAAGACAAAATGGACAGTTAAGTTTCAAAAGACAGGCCTAGAGTTACTATAATACTTTTTCGATTGTGTTGTTTCAGTGACATTGGAGGTATTAGAGTTTAAGAATATTTCCTATTGTGATATGTTTATGTTTTAACAGAACATTTTCATTATAATATTTTAGTATCTATGATAATTTTACCTTTTTATGTTTAAAATATAGTGAGGATCTTTCTTTAATCTTGGGAAGGAGATGGTTAGCAGCCGGAGTTTTGGGAGTGCATTGGGGGGTTAGGGGAGGGAGGTGTCCCTGAGAAGAAAAGAAGGAAGGTAACACTATCATATCTTCTTGGAAACGCGCTAATGAAAGACCTCCTAGCAAACACGTTTATCATATTTACTACTGGGAGAGATTTATCTGTGAGTGCTTTTGGCAGAATGCACGTGGTTTGTCTAGAATTACTATTGGTAAACAAACCTGGAATTTATAGATTTATGGGGCATGGCTCTTTGGAAAATGTCCTCCAAGCTCTTTAACTACTGGAGTATAAAATGGTGATGTTTCATAACTGAAGCAGCTCCCTTTTGTTAGAGACCTCATGTGCTAATGGACCAAACCATGTAGTTATGTGTATTCTCATGTGGCAAGAAAGACTTGGGGAGCTGCATTTGTGGTCTTGGATCTCTTCCTGCTTCTCCTGTGCCTTGCAGTGACTTCTGTCCTTGAAATTATTAGTAAAACTTGATTCTGGGTAAGAGCTCTGATTGGTATTATCCTGATTTAGCTTTCTGATTACACATTAAGGTACCTTTTCCTGACGCTGAATTTAACATTGCCTTTCGATTTCTATTTTAAGGAAAGGTTGAAACTTGAACGCAGCAAAGAATACAATCAGTTTCTCAGGGGTAAGGAAGAATCCAGTGAAAAATTCAGACAGGTAGAAAAGATTACTGAGGTAGGTTTTGCTTTGTAAATCTTTAATACCACAGCCTAAATATTTTGTACTTTCATAAAAAGGTTTTTATATTTTAGGCATTTCATTTGGTTTTTATGTAAATATTAAAAAAATTAAGCCAAATTAAACCAAACACAGAACATTTAAATATTTAGTTTTGGAAATTGTTTTATCTTGTATTGAAAAACTTACACTACTTTTTAAAAGATTAACCTTACTGGAGAAATTTTAGAGACCAGTTTTGTTAAGTGATTTTTCTTTTTCTTTTTTAAGTGATTCTTTTTTTTTAATATTGACATTTTCTAGCTATATATTTTTTCCAAATTTACACATGGTTGTTGTTGCTAGGGCCCAAAAATTTACTTTTGTATTCTTTGTGTTTAGGAAGAATTTAATTTAAATATTTTGGAGCAATATTTAACTGCAAAAATATGCCTATATCTTGTGAGATAGGAATTTACATTTAGTTTATCTTCTTTCTATAGTCATTTATTCATATTATTGTTGCCTGTTTATTGATATTTAATATGTGTTTAGGAAGAATTTAATTTAAATATTTTGGAGCAATATTTAACTGCAAAAATATGCCTGTATCTTGTGAGATAGGAATTTACATTTAGTTTATCTTCTTTCTATAGTCATTTATTCATATTATTGTTGCCTGTTTATTGATATTTAATATTTTATTGAAAGATAACATTTCCTTGAAGTTTTGTTCTGAAGAAAAGATATTTCTCATGGGTGATTGAATGTCAGAGTTGAGATGATAAATAGATTAAGCATAATTTGAGGATTTAATTGCTTTTTAAAAGATATTATCTCATTAAGATTTGTTTCTTTTTTCTTTTTTGACTGAATAGCCCAAGAGTCAAAGAAATAAAAAACCTGTTAAAGTTCAGCCTGATTTACCTTCACAAATACAGACATCTTGCAAATATCCAGAGGATCCTAGGAGAGATGTCTTAACTCCTTCAGAGGCGTATGAGGAGCTTCTAAACCAAAGACGACTAGAGGAGGACAGATATCGACAATTAGATGATGAAATTGAATTAAGGAATAGAAGAATTATTAAAAAAACCAATGAAGAAGTGGGCATTTCCAATACAAAACGTCAAAGGTTTGCCGGGAAGGCTGGCATTCCAGATAGAAGATTTCGCAGGATTTATGAGGATCGTGTTCTTGATAGACAGTATTATAGACCAGACCGAGATCCTGAAGTAAGTGAAGAAATGGATGAGAGGTTTAGATATGAAAGTGATTTTGATAGAAGACCTTTGAGAGTGTATACAAATGACAGGTATTTACAGCTTCATTTTTATTTTCTTTATTTGCTTAATATTGTTGTTGTTACTTTTATCATTATATTAGGGAGAAGCAGTTTCATTTGATTTGCTATGTTTGATTAATTGTAAGATGCTATCAATTTTAAGATGCACCATTATTTTATGTGCTACTGAGGGGAAAAAAAACACTCAAGGTGGGGACCCTGTGGTATTGCTGGGAAACTGAAAGGCTACACCCATCATGTAAAAGCAAAAGGGGAAATAAACATTCGCACAGAAAGGGACAGAGAGGACACTTGTCCCAACCTTGGCACTGAGTGGAGAGAGTAGAAAAAATAAAATAAAATCTTTGTTGAGAATTTGAAGTGGAAACCAGAACTGATTCAGGATCATAGTCTGAATTCAAGTTGCCAGAAGTTTCCAAAAAAACCTCGAGGCAAGAATTCAGAGTTGTCTTGGTTCATAGTGCCCCTAGATGACCGGCAGGGGAAAAATAACTCCTCTCTTCAATAACTTGACTTAAAAGTAGGTTGATAGCCACTCAGGTTTCAGATGTTAAAATGTGGGAAAAAGGGATACCTTAAGATAGATGAAATATAGTTTAATGTTCATATGCTCTAAGTATCTTTATCAATATGTTTGTTTTAAAGTTACTTTTCAAACACTTATTTAAGTGAAATGGCGTTTTCTCGATGAGATTTTCAGATGCTTTTCAGTTTCTTTGTGTGATTGTTTTTGTGATGCAATTTGTAATTTCTTAACTGCTAAAATGAGGTTTTATTTAATTGTCATAATTTTTTCATACTGTACTTAAAGGTTGCCATATTTTAACCTAACTTTTGATTTGGAGATAGAAATATTGCAGCATCCCATATTTGTCATTGACTTGTTAACTTGAAGGGGTTAAATGTAAATTTTGAGCAGTTTTTTATGGGGCCTGAATCATTTATTAGCCCAGATAGATTTCTTTTTTAGGATTTTAGAAAATTTTCCTAGGGGTAATGCTGTACATTCAGCATTCTAATTATTAATAGCAATGTAAAGCTTTCATAGTTCTTTGTATTCTCTTTATTCTGCAGCTATTATCTTCTATTCATTCAATATTTTTAATATTTCCTCTGATTTTGAGTGAAGGATTAGAATTTTGTAATGTGAACTGTAGGTTCTCTGATCTGAATCTAATTGTACTTCAGGAAATGCTTCATATCCTATAATGTGATATATTTGAAAATGCTTATATTTGAAGGTAGTCAAAGCCTGCCTAAGCTCAAAGTACTCTCAATTGGGGAACTGCAGGTTATTTTGGACTCTTGGTGCTGTCTTCTTCGTACATGAGAACGTTTTTTTCCTTTATGGTGTTTGTTTGCCTTTAGAGTGTAATTAATGCATACCCTTTAAGTTTGGAATTTTAAGAAACATTATTATGGTCATTACTTTGATTTTTTATATATTTTGATTTTTTTAAAATAATTACACCCTGTGATAGTTTTATACATGAACTAACAAATGAATTTCATCCTAATTATTGGAGAATTGTCTTTTCTTATGTATCTTTTAAGTGAAATGAACTCTTCCTATATTAACTTCCCCAAGTAGTATTTTAAAAATAAATTAAACATGAGGTCAAGTGAGAACAATTCCCGTTAAACATGTTAAAATATTACTTCAAAATGTAAATCATATTATACGTTACTTTCATTTCATTAATGTTGATACAAAGTTACATCTCCAAATGTTAAGGTGTTTCACATGTCTCTGTGGCAATTGAAGTTAAAATTGAATTTATAGATTTCAGATTTGTAGATTCCTTATTTCCAACAAAAAAACCACAAAAATTTTTATATCATTTATTCAGTAGTTTCTATTTAATAAGCTAAGTGGTTGGCAGGAGAAATGACCATATTTGTTAGTGAAAATTTTGAGACTAAAGAAATGTGGAACTGCATTTGGTCTTTTACTCTAAACTTTTATTCTTAATATACTGTAATTGTAACCAGAAGTTCTTGGCAAAAATCATTATAATTGATTGTGAAAAGTACAAAGTTAATTCTCCTTTATTCTTCTAAATTTCTCTTGCTCTCTGTTTTTGTTTTTGTTTTTTTTCCTTCTAAAAGTACACCAAGGTCAAGCGTTTGGATCTCCATACTGGCCAGCTGCCAAAAAAAATAAAAAATAGAAATAAATAATAAAAGTCAGCATCTGATAAATTCTAGTTTTGGTTTATAATAATTTTTTATTTTTATACTTTTGGTCTCGGTTCCTCTTTAAGTACCATATAAACTTTTTCTTATACCATGGTATGTTTATTAAGGAAACATTTCCCCTACTTTAAATATGTGAAAACTAAAGCTTTCTTCAGGAAATGATGTTTCTTTCCTAAACTCATACTGTGAATCACTGGCAGTGTTCTTAAATAATTAACAAGGTCGTTAGCACTGTGATTGGTAATTGCATTCTGTGTGTGTGTGTATGCGTATTATTTGTTTGTACATATTTATCAGTTTGAGAAAAAGTTATAAAGTTTTAGGAGCTTTCTTAAGTTGAATATAATAGTATGTCTTACGATTCTTTGAAATTTATAGGGTTTGTTTAAATATAGTCATCCTAATCTTTATTATTTATTAACTTGAGCTGTAGAAGTTAATATATTACCTTGTTATGTTTTACTTTAACCAGTGTTAATGAGCTAAAGAAGTTTTTAGCATTAAAAAATGCTGTTTTTTAGTTTGTGAGTGATTTATGTAGTTAGTGCTTCCATTCTACGTATATGTTGATATTTTCTAGTTTATAATTAATAGTCATTGAATAAAATTCTGAAATAACACTCCATGTGAAATTAGAATCTGTCTTAGCCACACAGATTAAGTGCTTACTTAGTGTAGGACATTCTTCTAAGAAATGTGCATGCTTAGTATGTAAGACATAAATGAGGAGAAATGGCTTTTTAAAGCATAAGTTATGTAGTTTTGTGTTACTTTTTTCCTATTCATAGTTAATTTTAATTTGTCTTTGGAAGGGCCATTTTAGTCATTATTTTCCTCACTTTTAAAGGTGGGATTGATAATAGAAAGCACTGTTATTAAAATAAATATAAAAATTGGGAAAGAACTGAGAAAAATGAGGAAAGTGGTGACTCACAGTTAACATCAGAGTTTTTCTTTAACTTCTATAGTTAGAATACCCTTAATAGAAGAATTCATTCACAAGAGAGAAATTCTTGTTATGGAAGTGATGTAACTGTCATTATTATGAATTAAATGGCTTCTTTTAAGTAAGGAGAAATTGAATTCTTCTTCCCTGTGGGCTGTATCAATATAAGACAAACAGATGGTAAATATGTTATTTTTATAATATGGTATTATTGATAGCATAAACACTAAATTTACTTCTGAAATAGTTTGATTCTGTGGCTTATTACGGGGAAAAAAGGAGTTATTTATTATCATTTAGGAGTTCATTCACATTTAAATTAGTTAGCAGGAAATACCTGTGGTTTTAAATAATTTGCGTTTCTTCTGTAAGGGAGTTTTTTTTGTTTTATTTTGTTTTTAAGATGAACGTGTGTTTTTAGGGTGAACTTGGCCTCTAGTCTGTACCTGATTTCTTTGAGCATTAAGATTTTTACCTAATCAGAGTCGTTGATCTATGTCTTCAGGGAACTAGAAAGGGAGAAAAAGCTTTTTTCATTTAATTTGTGGTTTTTTTTGATAGTAGGATGGTGAAACCATTTTGCAATTATTTCATTCCCTCTATCATATCCAATTTGCATTTTAGAGGAAACAAATTCTCTCTTTCATGAGGTGTGTTCATTTCTGAGGTTTTAAGGTGTGGTAAATGAACCTATGTATTTAAAGCCATGGAATATTTAGATAGATTACTTCTGGGTCACAGGGATAGTCTTAATCTGGTACTGGCTGTAAAACCACAGCAAAACAGAAAGGACTTTCCAGGAACAACATGGACCTAAACTAAACCCCAGATTTTGATTAGAATCAGGTCGTTCTAAGGCTTTTAGTGAGTGCATTACTTCTGGATATTATCATCTGACAGTTACCCTTCAATATTGAGAGGATTTGAAGAGAGAGTGAGCAATGGTGAAACATCTGCTGACTCTTGCCAGTTTTTTTTCTTCAGAGGACTTTATTTGCCTTAGTAAAGCTTTCAAGAATAAATTGTAAATCCACCATAAAAACTGTTAAAGTGAGCTAACAGACATGGTTAAGGGTGATTAAAAGCTACATTTATTAGAAATATGAAAGGAAGTTTAGTAAATGAAGGAAATTTCATCAAAATTATAGGAATATTTTTATAGAGAATAAGGTGGCTAACTTTCCAAACTATAATTTGGCTTCATAGCTTAAGTTCCTTCCAGTTTTTTTTTTCTTTCTTTTTTTAGGTTATATTAGTAACTTTTTAGATATATTTATCTGTATTTTTTTTCTTCAATTTTATTTATATTTATTTTGTGGGGTACAGTGTGTCATTTCAATACATGCATATACTACACAATGATTCACTTAGCATAGTTTTGTACCTGTTAGTCTACCCCTTCTTTTCCACCCCCTTTTCCCTGGACTCCAGTCTCTGGTAACCATTATTCTACTCTCTACTTCTATGAGAACCACTTTTTTTTTTTTAAGATTCCACATATGAGTGAGATCATGTGGTATTTGACTTCCTATGCCTGACTTATTTCATTTAACATGATGGTTTCCAATTCTGTTCATGGTTGTTACAAGTGATAGGACAGCATTTCTTGTTAATAGCTGAATAGTATTCCATTGTGTATATACACCAAAGTTTTTTATCCATTCATCTGTTGATGGGCATTTATATTGATTCCATCTCTCGTGAATAGTGTTGAGATGAACATGGGTATGCAGATGTCTTTTTGATATATTGATTTCTTTTCCTTTGGGTATATAACCCAGTAGTGGGACAGCTGGATCGTAAGGTAATTCTATTTTTAGTTCTCTGAGGAACCTCCAAACTGTTTTCCACAATGGCTGTACCA